TAAATAATAAAAAAATAAATTACAGTGAAAGCAATGAAGATTTTGTAGGTTTTGAACCAAACTAAATAACAGTAAACCTTTTTTTGATTTACGGTATTTTCTTGTTTTGAGCTCTTATATATATATATATATATATACTAATTTTTAAAGTATCAAATCGAATTTTTTGTTCAATACAAATCTTTCAAATGCGACTGTAACTTTTTCCCCCAAAACTTTGTCTTCAAGATAAGGGTGCGTCTTATATTCCGAAAAATACGGTAAACACTTTCAGTGGAAGATTTTAATAGGTGTATTTTTGCCTTGACATCGCTATCACTGTGTGACAGTCAACCAACCATGCGCGTCCTTACAAATGAATTTTATAAAGTACGGTAATCTAACTTGTCATACTTATTACGAAATTTACTTCTTGAGTTAGAGATTGCTGTATTTAACGGGTGTTAACAGTGCATGTACATATATTAATTTACGTTATTAAGGAAGGGGGTGGAATCCAAGAAAAGCGGGGCAACCTCGGTGGGGGTGCGTTCGAACCCCTCCCTCCGCGGAAGGGCCTGTAGTAGTACCCTTCCGTTGGACGGGTGAAATAAAAACTCCTTTGCGTTTGTAACAAGGGATAGAAAATTGTGCTTCTATTTTTTTCTTAACATAATAAACATCAAAAGTGCAATAAAAATATCTAAAGTTACTAATACTAAAAAGAAAGACATACTGTTTTCAAGAATTCTATCAATATGAAATTAGATGGGAGGTCCAACTCCTTCATTACCTTCTTCATGTCATCCTGTATCAGTGTGTCAAATTGTACTGACTTGGTAGTTTTTTCCGAAGTTAGATGTGAAGCTTATTATTTTGAGAGACACCTAAAAGTAATGCTTTAGGTATATATATATATTAATTAATTTACAGTAAAAAGCATATATGTAAACTCTATTGGGGCAAATACACTATATATCAAAATTTCAGTTGTTCGTATCACAAAATTCAAAATTTAGGTGTCATTTCTTGAATGCAGTCTAAAGCATATGCAGAAAAATGTAAAATACGTAAACTACGACATACACGGCGTTGCTATGGTAACCCACTTGCCACCTATCGACGAAACAATGACCCGCGGTGGTGACTTTCAATATGGTGGCGCGTACCTGTATTTTGTGTAGTTGCTGGATGATATTATTCGAACATTTTTGTCTGACTTTTCCATTCTGCTTTTTGCTTGTAGAAACAAAAGTTGTAATAGGTGAATTAACAACAACAGAGGTAAGTAATGAAGTTTGCTTGATTACAAAATAAATCGACCTTGAGTAGGTGTATAAAACAGCGAAGCAAATAATCGGGTAATTGGCAAACTTGGACAGATACCAAACACACCATAACATTAACACTACAAAAATTGTAGTTAAATGTTAAATAAAATAAACGGATTGGAATGTTACAAATTAGATTTTGGAGTAAAACAGATATACTTCAGCGGTGTATGTATTGTTCGTAAGAAAGTGAAGGATAAAATGGGAATATAAAAAGAACAGGTTATTAAAGAAAATATTTTGGGTCACAATTTTACTTTTAGATATCAACTAAAGGAATTAATGAAAAGACATAAAAAGAGATAGAAATAGAAATATAGCTTTAATGAAATATTATAAAACAGATGAAACAACCAAACAAGAAGACCTGTATGAGATAATGTGATCGAAAAAAAAAGATAAAATTTAAAGAGAAAGATGACGGAAACAAAAAATTAAAATAAAAGGTACAAATGAGAAGAAATCATGCAGGAACTCAATAAGTTACAAAGAAGTGAGTTAAAAAACTCTGCTACAAGAGAGAGAAAGATATAAGTTAAGTTTCTTCTTATTACGTAAAAGAAAATTTAAATTTCTGGAAGATTGAAATAGCGTTACAAATCGCTGGTGAAATAAAACAGTCATGATAATATTACGACAGCGGAAGTCACGTGACGCTGGAAGCATGCGTGATAGCGTTTCTTGAAGGATCATGAATTTTCCTGACAACTCTAGTTTGTTTCAGATGCCCTCTTTTTTAATATATAAGCCCGGCAAATAAAGCCAGTGAAAAAGGATAGAATTGCATAGATAGATAGATATAGAGATAGATAATTGAGTCAAGCGAACAGTAGGCACCGTAAGTAAAGCGTGTGAATCACTGTTATTTATAGCGTGTGTTATAAAGGTTGTTAAGTTTAAAGTGACTGGGGAAATTCTGGGTATTACTAAAATTTGTATCAAGAAAGAATAAACAGTTTTAATTAAGAAAGGACTTGTATAGCCGAAGTTCCTCGGAAAGAAGTTGTACCGAAAAAATTAACAAACGAGCAGATACTCAACAATACCATTGCACGACCAAGATAGATTTCAAAACGAGAGAACGAAAGGATTCGTATCGATACGTGTACGCCCAACATTAAACCAAACATGTACAACGAAACTATTTGAATGAACTGAATCCAGGACAACTAGACACCTAAAAACAAAATGACGAAGTAGGGCATTTAGACACCTCTTGTTTATTATAAATTAAAACAATAATTACAATATGAAACTTTGTTGAATGGACGGCAACTGCCTGTTGTAGAAACACAAGTGTAGAGGACGACGTTTCGAAAGTCTTTCGCCTCTCGTCTTCAGGTTGTCCTCTACACTTGTGTTTCTATAACAGGCAGTTGGTGTCCATTCAAAAAAGTTTCGTCATGAATACTTTCCTGAACAATCTATCAAAGAATAATTACAATAATTTTCTCCAATATACGACCTGTATATACTAGGCCTACTACATTACCAGTTTAATTTACTCCATTATATAAACTGTATAGATCTAGGTCTATTTTATTAAATGTTTAAATCTACTCCATTACATGACCTACACAAATCTAGGTTTATTGTATAACCAGTTTAATTTACTCCATTATATGACATGCATGGTAACCGGACAACCAGACGACATAGAACTAAACAAATATGTTACGAATCAGCGAGTTCTTCCTTTAAGTATGTTGCGAAGTTTTAACACCCCTCTAAAATTATTAGGTGTCTGAATGTTCCACTTCTCATTTTTTTAGGTGTCTAATTGTTCGGTTACCACATGTGGTCAATATGATAATGGTTAATGTTGTTTCAGTGAAGAAGGCCTTAGTATAAAAGCCGAAAAGTCGTTTCTTCTTCATTCTGGAGGTAGTTGCAGCCCTCTAAAGTTGCCAAAACTACAACTTTAAAGTGTTTTATTAGTTCCTAGAGTGAAGTTAGTATTGCCATCAGTGATATGCAAAACACCAACATCATCATCTTCCGTTAATTACTATTTAACAAACTACAATGCTTTTTTAATATATCATTCAATTGGTTATTCCTTGCGTAGCATGGTGTATACGTCAAACGTATTGAATTTCCATGTTTGATAGTTCAAACTTTTGTAGTCTGGCTAATTCTAGATTCTAGAACATAAGACTGAGTACAATTTATGTTTTACGCACGAAAAGGTTCATATTATTTTAATATGAGCCCTATTGTATATCAATTTCCATACTGTATATTTACATTATATCTTAATATATTATTCTTTACTTATAACAACTAAATTAATTTTAATGTTTTTATACCACACATTCGAGTACATTTTGTACAACTGAACATTGTACTATTTTACGGCTGTAGCTGTTGAAAACTCCTAGATTTTATAGCCTGGTTAATTCTAGAACCGATGTGTTTTACGTATGAAAATGATTCAAACATATCTTTATTCGGATACGTTAATCCCTGTCTCAGGCTAAGGACACATAGAGTTTATAAGTTGCTTCTGTGCCATTGCCCTCCTCAAGGATGAATCATACACAAAAAGGGGTGAAGAGAGAGGAAATCCCCAATTGCTGCTTCAACTTGACCCCCACTAGTTACGTCGTATATGCAGGAACACAGAGAGACAAAGTTGGGTTATTCTGATTAAGAAGTTAGCACACAGGATCATATACAAAAATTGTCATGGTTTTCAAAGGAGACACAAAACTCGAAAGTGCTCAAGTTTTGGGTCTCGTTTGGAAACCATTACTAGGTTGGGTTATGACGGTTAAGTGAGATAGTCTGAATGAGGCTGATGGACGTTTTATGATTAACCAAAAACTGCCAAGTACTGGTCAACATTATTCCTGACTAAGAGGGGGTGATGTGCTTATAGTCTTATAGTGTATTTTATCCAGTAGTATGAACCACAACACTCTCAGATGGAGCAGTCAGGAGCTTCCGAGGCTGACAAGGCATACTCGTGAAACTCTGAGAACAGTATTACAACAACACAACATGCAGTCTTTTTAAATTATACATTTTTTAATATGTTCGTATTACTGAGTTTACTTTTGTGTGTTTTCTTGCTGTAGTTTCTCCTCATGATTACTGTTTTGTGTTTTATTTGTTTAATTATCGTTATATTTAGCATTTGTACTTTAGCAATCTCCAAAGACTTATGTAAATTCATTTTATTTTGCTTTAGATACTGAACATGGAATCTGATAGAATTCCGAAACGTTTATCTATGTCCCCTTTTTTGTTAATAAACAATGTTGTATATCATAAGCGTCGTAATAACTAACGTTTTAACTGTATTTTAGCTATTACGTTATGCAATAATTTGTGTTACCTACAAATGATATTAAGCTTTTTAAAGCACACACATTAAGTAAAAAATAATAATTAACTAACAAAATTAATCTATAAAATGTACAGTTAATTCCGCGACTAATTTCGATGTAGCATGTAAAACTAGGATCACAACCTTCTTGTTTCCTTCTGCAAGAGAACAGCTATGGTTAGACTTCATTTCTTGGAATATGTCCAAATCAAAGAAACAAATTCGCTCACCAAATTAAAACGAGCCAAGTAGCTCCACAATGGGTCAGCGGTAAATTTATGGAATTACAACACTAAAATCCAGGTTCTCTTCCCCGCAGAAGATAGAGTGCAAATAGTCCATTGTGTAGCTTTTCATTAAGAAAATAACAACAACAAACCCATTGTTATAAATCGATTTATTATAGATAAACTAATACAAATTTAATATTGTTAACAGCTTTAAAGCGGATATTTTTTTAAAGATGTGCGACGTTTCAGCCCCTACAGGAGGAGGCGGTCTTCAGGCAATGTATGAATAGCAATAATTACAAATTCAAAGTGTAATGGTTAATTTTGGAGGAGGACACGTTGAAATATATGTATTTAACATAGTAGGCAATAAGTTATTTATAATTAGTAAAGATAGAGAGGAGTTGTGGGAAATTTTTGCAAAGAAGGTTTTAGTTTGGCTTCTGTAGTTTTTATTATTTTTATATAACTTCACTTTGTAGAATTTCACTGCTGTTTTAGGATTTGGAGTGATCGATTTCTTTTAAATGTTTCAAAACATATGATGGTCCATTTAAAACGTACTTTGATCCATATGTTCAGTTTTCTTCCAGATTCACCTAAATAAAATCTTTCATATATGTCACATTGGATTTCATATATTATTCCTTACTTTCATTTTACTTCGGCGTTGCCCAATGGTTATGCGTTCTGGACTGTGGATGGGTGAGCGTTCGCGTCCTGTTAGCGAAAAAAAAAAAAAATGCGTTCGCTACTTTGGGGCCATGGGTGCGTTGTAAGGGTGACAGTCAATTTACACTATTCGTCCAAATTTGGAAGGCAGGTAATCAAATCGGGGCTTGATTAATCCTGTCAAGTTAAAATATTCACCCATATTTAACTTGTGAGACCTTTGAAAGTCTATTCCAGCTGATCTTATTGCTGTTATACGCGTGTTCTGTTATAATTGGTCTAATTTTTCATCTCACCATCTGTCATCTGACATAGAGTAGGGTGCAGGTATTTCTGTCCAGATAACTTTTCCGGTAGAGATGGCAATACCACACTTAACAAATATTTAGGTTCATGCTAAAAGTGATAGAACAGTTAGCTGTGTGCGTTTTGGGCGCATAACACATTTGGCATGGCTGCTGTGTAGTTACATAATGTTCAGTCTTATATGCTTAGGGATTGTGCAATTTGGTTTGCTCGAAGGTGCAAAGGTAAAATTTAGAGGAGTATTAATCAGATCACTTCTGTCAATTTCACTGTTTTTTAGAGGGGGTCATCATATGAAATTTTCTTCTTTCTTTGAAGGTATTTTTAGTTCGCCAGTATATGATCCTGATATACACCTTCAGGCCCGACATGGCCAGGTGGTTAGGGCGCTCGACTCGCAATCTTCACAACTGTAGGCTTGGACATATTTGGAACAAGTTTTATTGCATTTTATACTAAAGACAGTAAAATAAAATAAACAAAAGCTTCTGCTGTATTTTCTGAAAAACAAAGTGCTATTTCCAGGAGGATTATCCTAAGAATAACAAATATAATTAAAGATGTAATATATATATGTAATTATGCTCCTTCCTTTTAG